TCTGTCAAGCGCCCAAAAGAGAAGCCTTGAATACTAGCTTTGTATGGCCTTTTTGTGAGCTTCTTTTGAGCCATTCTTGGCTGTTTTCCACAACATCTTTAAGGGATTAGAAACTTCTCATTTTACCCTAAGTAAACCCTCATATTCACCCTCATTACACCTAATTAAACCTATCTAAGTTGCTGCCCAACTCCTCCACTTCTCCTTCCCTTTTTACGTGTACATTATATATGCTAGCTTCATTAGTTTTTCGTCACAAAAAATAAAACGCTGCATATACTCTCCTCTCTCTTCATCCTTTTAGCGAGTTTCAAAGGCAAATCAAGGGGGAAATCTTAGGCTAATTTTTGGCTTAAGCAAACTCCAATTCGTGGTCAAATTCCTCCTCTTTCGAAGTGTCAAAACCGAAGAACTTTGAGGGTTTTCAAGGGGCTACTTGTGCGTGGGTTTAGGGGCTGAATTCATGGCTTTCCTCACCTTATGCTAGTCTATAATTTGGTCACGCTTCAAGAGGTAACTAGCCTTTCTTCCCTTAGATTGGAAATGCTAGGTTTTAGGGTTGAATTGATAGGTAGAAATCATGTTAAGGTTAGATTGATTTGTTGATTTTCGTTCTTGATATGTATGTCAGATTTTCGTGTACAATTAAGGTGATTTTGGGTGTTTGAATCATGTTTTTCATGCTTGAATTATCTTAGAATAAATCCTTAATAGGTGTATGATATTTTGTTATGATTATATTAGGTTTTGTGATGACTTTTAGGTACTTGAAATCTGATTATATAGTCTTATTATGTGCGTATAAGACTGCAGTTTCTGCGGTGATTATTGGTCGTGAATGAGCCATGAATTCAATTATTTTATTTTATATTATTGTAGAAGATTGTTTTACGATCGATTTGATATATTATGGGTAAAATTCGGAGGTGTTTAAGGCCTCCAAATGACTGATTTTGTGAGAGAAGTTGTGCTGCCAACGTGAATTAATTAGGACGTGATGTTAGATAGAGTTTATGAGCATGTAAATATCTTATTTTTGTGACCAATTGAATATATCTTCTACATTATCATCTTAGAATTATATAGGAGTTTGTATCTTAGACAGAATATGTGTGTTGAGGCAAAATTCTATCTTTTATAAGCATCTACTTTAGAATTAGTGTGCTGTGTAATGACAGCTTGTGTTTCACCTGTTCGGCTGTTCCTAGAGCTCTCAATTCGGGTAAACGGGATGGGTTTGGGTCGGGTAAGAATTAACTCGGGTAGGGTCAACTCGGGTTAATGCCGTAACCTATGCGGGTCGAGTTCAAGTTGGATCATGCTTATGTCGGGTCACGTCGGGTCTTACATCTTATCGGGTTTGGGTCGGGTTTAGGTCGGGTTAAGAATAGGCCGGGTTACATTCGGGTCAGGTAAATAATAGGTCGGGTTTAACTCGGGTTTTTACGGGTTAAAACAGGTTAGGGTCATTCTCGGGTTCGGTTCAAGTCAATAATTTGCGAGTTAGAATTAGGTCGGGTCACTCTCAGGTTTGAGTCAGGTTCTGTTCAAGTCAATAAGTTGTGGGTCATAATTAGATCGGGTCATTTCCAAGTTGGGCCATTCTAGGATTCAAGACGGGTTCAGTTCAAGCCAATAATTTGCAGGTTATAATCAGGTCTGGTCATTTCCAAGATGGGTCATTCTCGAGTTCAAGTCGGCAAGTCAATAATTTGCGGGTTATATTCAGGTCGGGTCATTCCAAGTCAATCGGGTTTAATTTTCGGTTTATAATCAGGTCGGTCCTTTCCATGTCTTGTCATTCTCGGAATAATTTGCAGGTTATAATAATCAAGTCGGGTCATTTAAAATTCGGGTCGGGTTTGGATTCGAGTATCAAAATATTGGGTTAATTAGGGCTTAAGGTTGATATCAGGTTGGGTCATATCGAGTTTGGTTACATTTTTTGGGTCAGTTTGTTAACAGTTTATGTAATGACGTTCACATTTAATCATCATCAATTTCTTCATTTATTGTAAGAGAAATAATTTTAGAGAAGTTTAAATTCAAGCTAATAAGTTCAAGTAAGTTTATATAAGATATATATACATTAGAAGTTCATATTATTTCCAGTAAAATTCGGGTCGGGTCAATAACAAGTCGGGTTGAATTTAGGTCGGGTCAATAACAAGTCAGGTTAATTTCGGGTCGGGTTGAATTCCGAGTCGGGTTAGTAATAGGTCGGGTTAAATTCAGGTCGGATTAAATTTGGGTTTTGACAGGTTAAAACAGGTTTGGGTCAATTTCGGTTCAGATCAGGTTCGGTTCAGGTCAATTATTTAGGGGTTACATTCGGGTTGGATCATCTCCAAATCGGTTTATGTTCGGGTTTGGGTCTTAAATACTCGGGTCAACTTAGGTCTAGGGTTGGTTTCAGGTCGGGTTCGGGTCACCATTTTTCGGGTTCAGACGGGTCGGTTAATAATCGGGTTTGAGTCAGTATTTCGGATCGGGTTAGCTTTTGATAGCTCTACATGTTCCTAGGCTTTGAATTAATTACTTGTGTTGATTTTATTGCCTAAATTGAATTAGTATCATATTAGGCTATCACCTAATTAATTTGGCATGATTCTAAGCAAGTTTGATTTGTTTTAATGGTCCAAAACTAAGAATATGAGCTGCTACCCTCCACTGCGAAAGGTGTGTGATAAGAGAGTTTTTATGATATGTTTTGCCTAACATATAATCCTAAATGTATGGTTTACATGACCTATTAAGTTTTTAGACTGTGTACTATAATGGGCCGTGCTTAGTTTCATGTTTAAGGTGGGTTTTTGGGTGAATGGGTGTCGTAATTTAGTGTAGGGGCTGTTGTATGTATGATTTATTTGGGCATGTTTTCTCTTGAATTTTAAGTCCGAAATGGTTTTATATGATGCCTATTGAGTATATGTATGTCCCTAATTTTTATTTCTCATTTGAAGTATGTTTGATTGGGTTTTTATGATGATATTTGGACTCGTATCTTGCTGCCTTGTTTTGGTTGTTTTATGAAATTGTAGTTTGGATTTTTGGTTTTATCAAATGAATTTATGGAATTTTTATTATAACTATTATATATTAGTTAAAATTATATTTTAAATAAGTGATGTGTGAATCCTTAGGTATTATAAATCTCTAAGGTAAAATATTTTGATGTGTGTTTGAATATGTGTGAGTTGTAATTGTATTATCGACGTTGTAATGCTTTAGAGGAGAATAACACTGTCTTTAGCATTATTTCGCCAAGAGTTGTGAATGCATTTAATTGGTGATTTCTGATAATTAATTATATTCCCAAACTCAGACGATACCTCTGTGGTTTATTGAGTTGAAATGTGTTTTGAAATGGAATTACGATTGGATTTAAGAAATATGATTTTCTTATGCAGTTTAAATTGAGTGTAAGACCATTTGGTCTTCTCTGCAGATTTTTGAGTGTAATATATTATATTAAGTATTTTAAGTAATTTTTAAACTGTGTGTGGGGCCATAGTCGGGTGTGAGGCCGAGTTGCTTCTTGATGGTTAATGAACATGCTAACTACCTGGATTGCGAGTCTTAGGTAGCTCAAACTAGGTTAATTGTTGTCGTCCGGGGTGTGTAAGACCTTATAGGCATCTACCCATAACTGGGAGTTGGCCAATCTTAGACACGGTCTCCTACGAGATGACCGGGGGTTCGTCCTGATAAACCTTAGGAAGTGGATTGCGAGGCCACTAGCGTTCCCTCCATGCCAGATCTGCTGTTTTGAATGTTTTGAGTTTGAAATATTGAAACTATGAAATTATTACTTATATTGAAGCTTATATAAATTGTGAATGAAATTAAGTGTTTTAATATAAATTTCTTATTTTAAGTTTATTGCGAAATATTTTTTAGTTTTATGGTTTGATGGTTTTAAGTGATTTCATTTGAGTTTACAAGTTGTTTGTGATTGTGGTTTCTTTCTATTAATTTAAGTCTAAAATCTTTTATTTCTGATTAGAGGGAGAACTGCTAGTTGCTCCCCACTGATTGTGAAACGTTGTTACAATTTGCAGGTTCCATTTTGTTTATTTGATCTATGTGACGATGGGTTGGGAATTGAGAGTTTATAAACCAACCTTTGGGCTTTTATGCCTTTGTTGTTAGTTGATTGTTTAAGTACTTTGAAATTGGTTTTAGTTTGATTTCAATTTGGCCGATAAGGATTGTTCTGCCCTTGGCTTTTGAATATAATGGATTTGTCTATGTTTATGTTCTTTTGTTTATTTCTATTTCATCTCTTAGTTCGCGCTTAAGTTAAATAACTTAATTTGGATGTTTGAATGACTTAATTTTAACTTTTAGACTTAGGTAAAGCTTGACTTTTCCAATCAAAGTTAAGTAGTCTCCCATTCAGGCGTAATTTTGCTAACACTTTTAGTTCTAAGAGAACGAGGTGATACACTCTTCCTTTCTCCCTATTCCTTGTATATTTTATATAATATATTATGTGTGAGACATCCTTATTTTGTCTCACAACACTACAACAATACTTCCTCTGTAATGAAAACAAATTATCATTGTAGGAGTTTATAGGTACTGTATGCGGAAAAACATGAATCATATTCATAAGCACCTAATTCAAGATCACATGCATAACACATAAGACACATAATCATACATTTGAAGATTGAATTCCACAAAGCTATTCAACTGACAAATCAAGGAGAGATTAGAGCCCCAAGCGTTGCTCTTCTACTTAGTTTACAGGATTCGAACGAGCTAATGGACAACCAATCATCGCACAAACCACCGACACTGGCGCCGAGGAGGAGAAGAGAGCCGTGAGAGAGAGAGAGAGTATGAGAGGGGTTGGTTTTGCGTTTGCTAACTCGGGTTTGATCTTAAGGATCACTGAATTGCATTTCCATCCCTTAAACACCTAGTCTATATATAATCCCTATTTTAATAATAAAAAAAAAAAAAAAAATAAAGTAAAACCGGAAGGAATAAGAAACCCTAAAAAATACGGTTTAAATTAGAAACCCTAAAAAATACAGATTGCAAAAGCTCTCGCAACCTCCTCATATTCTCATTCTCTCTCTCTTCGCAACTCCAGAAGCTGTGCCTGCGCAACCCCCTTAGGTATTTTCTCTCTCTCTTCCATTTTCAAAACCCTAAATTTTTTTTCAATTTATTCACTCAATATCGTTTTTTCCCCTTTGATTCAGATCTTTCTTCTCTATTGGTGTCGCAGTCTCAGTCCAACATCATGGCTCTGGTTAGTTATTTCTGTGTTTTTTTAATTTCATTTTTTATTGTTTAAAATCATCGCCGAATACAATTAATTTTGCTTGATTATGATTTTGTTACTGTTGTTTAATTGCTGCTTTTGGTTTCATTTTGGATCTGTGAATTTTGATTTTTTTAGCTGATTTACAATTTAGCTTGAATTTTGTTTGTTATTTGCTGGGTTTTGTTTGAATTGTTGAGTTGATGTTACTAATGATGAAATATTGATGATTTGAATTTATCGGTAATTCGATGAGAATCTCTTATTAGGGTGTTTTCGTTTGAATGATTTGAAATTTTCCTTACCTTTTTCGATTTTTTCCTGTTGATTGTACATTTTTAAGGAGTAGTGCGATTATTGATTGCATTTTTTTTATTTATGTAATTTCATGTAAGAATTTTATTACCTTAAACATTAGTATTAGCTAATTTTTGGATCGATTTGCAATGTGTTTCATTGAGGTTTCGATGTTATTTTTGATTCATTTTCTAAGATGTTGATCAATATTGATCACTGATATGATTAGCTAGCTGTATTTGTGTTCCCATTTTTAATATCTGCTATTTCGCATTCTCCAATTGTCAAAAGTTACATTCTTTTTCTATAAATATGTGAATTGAATTATACGAATTATACTGCCAAATCGGTTCAGTTCATTTGCAATTTGCTGTATATGTTAGATTGTTTATTTTAAATCAAGTTTTTTCTTCTCCTCAGGTCTTGCATACAGGACTCCCAAATAAGAATGCCTACAAGGCTCTTATTGCTGCTGAATACAGTGGCGTGAAAGTCGATGTGGTCAAGGATTTTCAGATGGGTGTTACGAACAAATCGCCTGAGTTTCTTAAAATGAACCCCATCGGCAAGGTAGCCTATCAATCTTAAAGGGTATTGTTTTTTCTTTGCTATAAAATGTTGTGTAATTTTTGATGTGAGAATTGCTTTTTTTTCAGGTTCCAGTTCTGGAAACTCCCGAGGGTCCTGTATTTGAGAGTAATGCGATAGCTAGATACGGTGAGTTTGTACTGCCTCTCTCTTGATATGATCCTTATCTCATCTAGCTCTACTTTTTAATTAAATAAATTCATGTTTTGCAGTGACAAAGCTGAAGGCTGATAATCCTCTCTTTGGCTCGTCGCTAATTGAATATGTAAGATTGAACTTAAGCATTTGATTTATTTATTTTCCAAATGCAATTTTGGTGCTACGTAGCATGGATGACTAAAATCGTTTGATTTTATATGTATTTTATTTGTTAGGCCCACATTGAGCAGTGGATTGACTTTTCAGCCACTGAGATTGATGCAAACATTGCTCGTTGGTTGTATCCTAGACTTGGTTACGGTGTACATCTTCCTCCGGTTAGTTGACATAATTGTATTTTTAAAACTAAATCTAGATGTTTCTATAGACGCATTAATTATACCAACTCTTCTGTTATTTTGAAGGCTGAGGAAGCTGCTATTGCTGCATTGAAGAGGTCCTTGGAAGCGTTGAGCAAACATCTTGCTTCCAACACTTTTCTGGTCGGAGACAGTGTTACACTGGCTGATATTGTCATGACCTGTAACTTGTTTTATGGATTCCAGAGAATCATGACCAAGAGCTTTACTTCAGAATTCCCTCATGTCGAAAGATATGTCTGGACGATGGTTAATCAGCCAAACTTCAAGAAGGTGCTGGGTGAGGTAAAGCAAACAGATTCTGTTCCATCTGTAGCAAAGAAGCCAGCTCAAGCACAGCCTGCTAAGCCCAAGGCCAAGGAGGAGCCAAAGAAAGAGGCACCCAAGAAGGTAGAAGCACCTGCAGCAGAAGAGGAAGAGGCACCCAAGCCAAAGGCAAAGAATCCACTTGACCTTCTACCCCCTAGTAAGATGGTACTGGATGAGTGGAAGAGGCTATACTCCAACACCAAATCCAATTTCCGTGAAGTTGCAATTAAAGGTATTGTTTTTGTGTTAAATACCTCCTTATCTTGGCTTTGAATGAACAAGTTGGTAGCCATGATACTGAAAAAGATCCCTTTTTCCCTTTTTTTTTGTTCTGTCATTCATTCTATAGAATCTACTACGTATACCTTATTTCTGCTTCACAGTTTGTTGTCTTAAAGCTGTTAATTTATTTAGGCATTTTCCTCTAATGTTATGAACTTGCCTCTGCCTTCACCTCCTGAATGGCTGCCTAAGTTATCTTGAGAAACTGATCCAAACCTTAATTTTCTGTTTTTCATCCTTCTCGCTTATTCTTGTTTCCTGGGTCAAGGACGGATTTTTTGAAAATTATGATCGAAGTTTGTTGACTTGTAACCAGTGTTGGGAGTTTTACTGTAGTTGATTGTCTTGCCTTGTATTTGTTTTTTGTTATACACTGACAATTGTATTCAGATTATCCTTTGAAATTTGTAATGTGGATTAACGTGTACTGTATTTTGGAACACACATTTTTCATCAATTACTTATGTTAGTGTTTGATGCTGTCATGCACGATAACTTTCTCATACTTATCTCTGTGTTTTTGCAGGATTCTGGGATATGTATGATCCAGAGGGCTACTCTCTGTGGTTCTGTGACTACAAGTACAATGATGAGAACACCGTCTCTTTTGTAACAATGAACAAGGTTAGTGGGTTCTTGCAAAGAATGGATCTTGCTCGCAAGTACGCATTTGGAAAGATGCTGCTGATTGGATCAGAGCCCCCATACAAGATCAAGGGTTTGTGGCTCTTCCGTGGACCAGAGATCCCTCAATTTGTGCTTGATGAGTGCTACGACATGGAGCTCTACGAGTGGACAAAGGTTGACATCAGTGATGAGGCTCAGAAGGAACGTGTTAGTCAAATGATTGAAGATTACGAGCCTTTTGAGGGAGAAGCTCTTCTTGATGCCAAATGCTTCAAGTGATTCAATGGCGTCCCTAATGCTTAGGATATGTAGTTTGTTGGTCTATTGGTTCATACTCGTTCCATAGATTATGCTACCGTCCCCATTTAATTTTGCCTAGAAGTGTTTTTTATTGACTTTTTATTTTTAATATTTTGGTTTCTGCCTTTTTAGACGTTTTTGCGAAAATGTTATCTAATGACAGCAATATAGTGGGTCATTACGAGCTTACCATGAGTACGTCTTGAAATGACTAACCTATTCGTGTTTTTTTTGTAGTAAATGTGATGTGTTGAACGTAACATTTTTGAACTATGTTGCATGAGAATGTTTGGTTTGGTAAATAGGTGATCCAGATTGATTAATATGTAATACCAGCTTTTATGTTGTCTTAGTTGGTCATTTGTGTATGTTTTCTTTTGCTGACCCATTGTTTTATGTTGACTGACCATTATTCTGTAAAACAAGTGTTACTACAAAATGTCAGACTTCATCCCATTAGCTCCGAGTTCCAATTTCCAGGTGAAACTTGTTCCAAGTTGCATACTTGTATGGTAGCTTAGTCTATGTGTAGCCCCACATAGACATCCAACGAAATTGCAACATGTCAACGTTCTTAAAAAAGAAAGAAAGAGAGTTGAGCCGGAGAGTTGAGCGGTAAAAAGGTGTGAGATTCTCGCCTAAGAAGATAGCAGAGGTAAAGGATGAAATTATGGCGCCATGTTAAAAAATTTTACTTCCTCGACGAAGGTATGTTATGTACTTTTAGAAACATTTTCTATGGTAATGGGCAGTGAAGTTCTAGTCATTCATTGAATCAAAGATGAAGTAAGAAGTTCAAAACATTATTGGGTGACATTGATGATAAGTTTTTTTTTTTTTTTTTTTATCAACTGATCAGGTTTATAATGTATAATTGAAAGTTTTTCTCTTTACTTGACATAATGTAGTGAGTAAATTAGAAAATATGTTATATTTGATGAAAATGGTTTTTACAAGGAAATATAATTGGTTTGAAGTTATAAGGGTTAAAGAAGATATGCTTTTAGTTTTGTAATGGAATTCGAATCCATGGATTTATTTTTGATAAAATTTGGAATTTTGTGTTTTGTAGTTAATAATGTATAATGTACCTTTCTCATGAGTTTTTAAAATTATTTTAAAGCAATTTCGGTGACATTAATTTTTTTAGTATGAATATAATTATAGTGGTATAATTATGTATTATTAGATGTAGTGTAAAATAGATTATGAGTTTAATTGTGCTATGCAGGGTTGCAGTGTAATGGCAAATATGGAGGGCAATTTAGAAAAAAAAATCATTCATCTAAATGAGGTGTTTAATTGAGGACTGTGAAGAAGAGGATCAGGGAATAGCAAATGATCCAAAAGTTGGAATGACCTTTGTATTTGGAGAAGAGTATGCCCAATTTTGCCACAACTATGCTTTCAAAAAGGGTTTTATGTTCTTCATTGAAACTAGCAAACTAATGGATGAGTACAAGAATGATGGTGGTACTCGAACAGGGGTAGGGAAGTATGAGACAATGTACCATATGATGCAACGAATAAGATTTAAATGTAAAACGGGGGGTGTAAACAGAGCAAAGGGTCAAACGTCACATGATGCAAAGTGTTTATTGATGCTCGTTTAGTAGATGGGAAGATGCATGTACGAGGTTGTAAATTGGATCACAATCACCCAATTGATCCATCATGTAGCCAACCACCATACCAAATCGCTTTGCCTTTCTTAAAACCCTCAGTGAGAAGTGCAAATTCAAAGTGAAAGATGTGAAAGAAGGAAGTAGCTAATGAAACCAAAGAGTAATCTTGTCAATCATGCTTATAAATCTTTACAAAATCTAAGAAAATAAATAAGAAATAGGAAAATAAAAATTACTTACTTCGTAATAAATAAAAATTGTAAAATAAGTTGACAAAAATTGCAAACTAAGCACTTATTTCCTAATATTCTACGACTACAATTAATGTTGTGAATTTGGGTTGCAATTATAAAATATGTTCGTTGGCGGATATTGCTAAAAATTAACCATATTTTATTAAATTATGGTCAATAGCATATATTTTTTTTTCAAAGCCATATTATATGACATCATTAGTGAAATTAAAACATTTTAACTTTGTTAAATTCCATAACATTTCGGTTTTTAAATCAGTAAAATTTATATAAATAGAGTAACTTGAAAAATTATAGAAATTGTAACACTAAAAAAAAAACGGACAAAAACAAAACTGGACCAGTTATTTAAAAATAAAATAATAAATGGTGTATGTATTCAATTTTTTACAAAAATATATGCCTCGACAAACCCCTGACCGAGAAACTCAAGTAAGCCCGAAAACTCTAGTAACCCCTCTCCAAGAAACTCAAGTAACCCCGGAAAACTCAAGAAATCCCTGACCGATAAACTCAAGTAACCTCGAAAAATCAAGTAATCCATGACCCAAAAATTCAAGTAACAAACCCCTGTCGCACGGCAATAGGTCGCGTATAAAATTTTGTGTTACAAAATAAAAACGATTGGGTTAAAGCGGTGACCATGAAAGAGAAAGAGTTAATATTAAATTGTAGTTTTTGGCAAAAAATGAAAGTATACCACCTATTAAAATACGACCACATTTGATAAGTGTAATACTTATTTAAAATACAGAGAGAGAAAGGAAACTCTTACTTTTTACCAAAAATATAAAATACTATATTCAAATATGTCTTCACCTTATATACACCTTATACAAATCTTATTTCAAGCTAGTTGCCTTCACATTATACAAATTAGAATTTTATCCTTATAAAAATTAGTAAACTTACAATAAGGTTATTAAGGTCTAATAAATAATTGCAATAACTTTAATAAGCTCTACTCCCTCCGTCCCTAAATTACATTCCTACTTTTCTCTATTATGTGAGGAATAAATGCTAGAAATAAGAATGTAATTTAGAGACGGAGGGAGTAATAAGTATAAATAAAGTCTTATAACTTCAAAAAACTACAATACGTGCGATAACATAAATAAGATCTAAGAAGTTCCAATAAGTTTAATAAGGTCTTATAAGTTCATAAAGGTCTTTAATAAGGCTAATGAATATTAATAAGGTCTAGTAACTTCCAATAAGTTTAATAAAGTAGTCTTATAACTTCAAAAAACTACAATACGTGCGATAACATAAATAATATCTAATAAGTTCCAATAAGTTTAATAACATCTTATAAGTTCATAAAGGTCTTTAATAAGGCTAATGAATATTAATAAGGTCTAGTAACTTCCAATAAGTTTAATAAAGTATAGTAAAATAGTTGAGTAACTAGATATCAGAAGTTATTTTTCCTAAACTTATAAATTTATCATATCTACACTTAACTGAGCTTAAGATTTTTTTTATCACCTTCTTTTCAAGTCTTTCTAGTGTAACAAGCTTAGATAAGTTCAATTAAGGGTATGTTTTGTATACCTTATTTTCACTTATTCCACCTGTAAGAAGTTCATATTTGTTGGTACAAGTTAAATAAGTTTAGAAAAGAGTTACCCAAGTACAAATTACAACTAAAATAATTTTGAATAAGGTCTAATAAGTTCAGAAAAGTCAAAATTAGGTACATAGAACACACCCTTAGTTCAAATAATTTCAATTCAGGTTTAATAAGTTTTGATAAGAGAACCCAATATCAAATTACAACTAAAATAAGATTTAATAAAGTGTAACAAGTGCAGATAATTTCTTATCAGCGGAAAAGAATTGAATAGAACACCCCCTTAATAATTAATACACCTTATTTAACTTAGAATAAGGTGAACAATTTGGACCCTCTGTTTCAATAGGTAAAATAAGGTCTAGTAAGTTACAATAAATTCTAATTAGGTAAAATAAGTTCCAATGGTTTTATATATTACACTAAGGGCATGCAATGTTCTCATTGACTGAAATTAGCTGAACTTAACTTAACTTATTAGAGCTGCATTGAACTCGAATGAATATTTTTATAAGAGAAGGAAATTAGGAACTGAACTAAATATTATTTTTAAGAACTGTATTGGACAAAATATTATTTTTATAATTGCATTTTTGATTTATATTATCGTATTAGTCTATTTATTAAAGAAGATGAATTAATGTATTTTAATTCGGATTTTCAGATCGGATCGATCCAAATAACTGAATTTTAATTCGGATTGGATTAAAAAAGTAATTCTGATAGGGGCGGATTGAAAAATGGAAAACCTAATTATATTTCGGAACGGATTGAATTTGGCCTTAATCTAAACCGAAAACCAAATAGGACACCCCTAATACCCACTATTTCTTCTCAAATGTTTTCAATTACTATAGTTAAAGAGAAATCATCTTCTGAAAGATCTACAACAATTAACTTTTCTGAATTCGCTAATCGTTATCTACGTTAGGGGTGTGTAGACATCTACTTTTGGCCTCCTGTCCTGACAGGAAGCGCAATGACGATAAATAAAGCCATCTTCGTGTTGGATCAAAGTGAAGAATACTTATGGATAACTGGTTAAGCCACACACAAAACACAAAAGACTAGCCCAAATTAAAGAAAAGCCAAAACAATGGTCCAATTAACTAAACCCGATCATAATTAGGCTTAAGACCATGATTAAACCCTAATAATGACGGATTTAGGAGCGCCTAGGTTAAAACTTAGTGCTGCCGCAGAAAAAGCCGCGCGCATCTCACAAAGTCGCGCTGGGCTGCCGCGCTCAACTGTTTCAGTTGCGCGCGACACCCAGCGCCAATTCCGGTGCGGAAGATTTGTAATTATTCGGAAATTATACGGAAAATATAAATCGAATCTTACCATAAAGCCGCGCGCAAGACCAATAGTTGCGTTGCACACAGCAGCGCAACTCTATAACTTGCGCTGGGTTGCCGCGCGCAACTTCATCTGTTGCGCGCGACACTCGCTGCGTTATTGCTCGAAACCCTAAACCTAATCCTTCTCTATAAATACGAGCTTAAACCGAGGCTTCAACAAACAGAAATTAACCTAAAACCCTGGCAAAATAACTTGTGAACTTGTGCAACCTAGCCTTCTTGTCCTAAACACTCACCCTTTCGATACTTTGTTACTACGGTGGAGGTTCCCCAACAAGAAGGTGTCCATAAGGGTTCTAAACGGAGATCTAGCAAAGAGAAGTGGTAAATTCCCGAGCACTTAGTTAAATCACCTTTATTTTCTTGTTTAAAAGGACTTTAATTAATTAATTAATTAGTGTTGTTTGATCACTTTTAAAATAATTAATTAATCAATTCCATATAGTATCTTGCGTTAAATAAAGACTAGAATTGAATTAAATAATTGTTGATTGATCACCTAAGCCAAGACGAATCTTGTTTATTTATTGTTCTTCCACGAATTTAATTAAATAAGAATAACGACTTTGCAATGTAATTCCTACGTGAATTAATGTTTGTAAATAAAATCAACCAACATAGTTTTAGGTATCGCGTTGCATATATTGTTTGGTGATGAAATTGTGAAAAAGGAAGAGCTAGTAGAGGCCGTACTAGGGCTAGGATGACGATTTCCCTCTAAAAGGAACGTTATCTTAGTACCCTCGCTCCCGAACTCATTTCTGGTTTATAGACCAATTTGGGCATGGGTAAACTTATGATTTGTGCTAATTATTCCATGAACTACACATGGAAGAAAGGCATGAACGAGGTTTATGAGTTTTTCCTAAAACTCATTGGCGGCTCCTACTTGTTTCTTATAAAAAAGCGTGATGATAGAATCAATTCTAATTCAAGGTCCCCCAAATAGTCAGAAATTCAAATCCTACTACACCTTAACAAGTGTAAAGTCCTAGGCTTTTAAGTGGCCAAGGGCATTTAAGGAGAGTACCCCTTATGATGGGATCACCCTCCTTATAGGGTGTAAATGAGCCGAGTTGAGCAGAGTACTACCTTGTTCATGTTCAAGTTCATTTTACTTAGACGAGTCCGAGCACGATCCCGAGCTTTCAAACAAGCTTAAAAATCTGTTCAAGCTCGATTTATTTAGTACAGTATATGTTTGCGGATGGTTCGTGAACGGCTTGTTTATTAAACGAGTTTATAAATAAGCGTTTTAGGAATGAGTTTAGTAATAAACGAGCTTCTCTAATAAACGAGATTTGTTCTTTGACATTTGAAATCTCAAAATATAGCAAAATAATTAGACGAGTAGTTCACAAACATAAATATATAATTAACAATTGTGAATAAATCAATAATTCATGAATATAATTAGACGAGTAGTTCACAAACATAAATAAATGAGTCGTTCGTGAACTTATTTGAACGAGCATACCTATGTTCGTGTTCAAGATCATTTATTACATGAGTTTCAAATTTTGTTCAAGTTTGTCTCATTTATCAAATAAACAAGCATGAACGAGCTTCAGCCGAGATTAAACCCAAGTATTTTATTGATCAGCTTGGTTCATTTACACCCTTTTCTACATTCACAAACACTTTTCATTTTCAAGTTGAAAATCACATATTATAAAACCACATCTAAGAATTACATTAAAAAAATTGACCAATATACATCTAACATTTTTTTATCATTTATTATACTATAACTAAGACTTTGATATTAACTTTGAAAATAATACACTTTTTTTTTCATACTAATATAATACATATACTACTAAAACAATAATTTTTGATACTAAAATAATACAAATGATGAATACAAAAATTTTCAAAACAATTTCAATACTACAACAATACACTTGGTCGCTCTTGTCAAAAAAAAAAAAAAACAATACACTTGGTCACCATCATCTCTTTCGCTCGCTCGTCGGCACCTTTTATTTCACCTTCCATTTTTCTAGACCATCTTATGGACCACATCACCTATGATTTTGCCGACCCTCATTTCATACTCTAAACCAAATCAATTTCTCAATACGTCGACCATCGGCCCTTCATTTCCTCTCAACCACCTTACTCACCTTATAGCCACCATCGTCCACCCTCACCATAAAGCCAACGTCGTCCACCCTCGCCTTAAAGCCACCGTTATCCATCCTTGCCTTAAAGCCACCTTACTCAGCTTAAAGCCACCGTCGTAGAACATCGCCTTAAAGCCACCGTCCGTCGACCCTCACCTTAAAGCCACCGTCGTCGCCCCTCCTAAGTCTCTTCTCAAAAATATTCACGGCCAAAAGTACAATTATTTTCAAATTTTGAATTCGAAATTCTAAATTTTCATTTGCAAATTTTTTAAAACGAAATTTTCAAAAATATTGAGGTGGGACCAAGTGGGCCAACTGCATCAGCCAATAAAAACATTTGTCTATGTAGGGTACACATAGACTATGTCTATGTGTACCCTTTTCGTACTTGTATGCCTTTGATTCACTTGCATGGAAGATGGAATCATGGAACTAGTGAAAGTGTAAATAGTAGAAATTATTGTCAGAATTTTTTGTGGTATTTTTTCTAAAAAAATTAGGTAATAAGTCATTGACCGACTTGATAAACCTTCGTTCTCTAGTCACAACCTACAAGTGCCACAACTGCAACCTAGCTGCTGTTTGTAATCCATTGAAGACCACCCTTAGAGCACCCACAATGGTCGGGTACTGGGGTGGCTCACAATTTTCTCTTCCCTACGTTACCTTCTTCACATCATATTCTACTATCTCGAGTCACTCCCTTTATTTTTCCTACAATGGTGAGTAACCTGACCATTCTCTCTCCTACTTTTATCAATACCCCACCATATTTTCCTTCTTCTACCAATAGAGTTTATGTTTAATTATTCTTCTAATAAATATATTAGTCGAACTAATGACATCTATAAGCTCTTGAATTTGTCATTAATTCAGTTTACGTAATAATTATTTGTAATAATTATCAAAGTATTCATAATAATGACATGATTAATTTAAATATTATTAAAAAAAATATTGAAGACTTAACTATTATTACTCTTAAAATAAAAATATCAAATTTAATTCATAGACGGATCGGAATTGAAAAGAGGTTTCACAACACGAAAAAACATTACATAAGAAAATAATTATCCGACTACTTGATATCGTCATTCATTACCAAAACGACTCCATATGTGCTCAACCAAATCTTTTTTCAATGACACATGAGTCTCCCTATCTCGGACATTATTTCTGTTTGCCATGTAACCCGCTAAACTGAGATTACGTAGTCGTCCTTCTCTCACAGTGAATGGTTGGTTAATATCTTGGTTTGAAGATCCGACTATATTTTGAGGTTGATCAGTGATAAATTCATTTGCATCGTAATGCAAATAGTTCTCTCGCTCATCCTCAACAATCATATTGTGCATGATAATGCATGCCATTATAATTTTCCATAGGATTTATGTCGACCATACGAGAGCTGGTTGCCGTATTATTACGAATCGAGATTGTAACACTCAGAAGGCACGTTCAACATCTTTGCGATAACTTTCTTGCTTCCTCGTAAATAATCTTTAGTTAGCAGTTTGTGGAAGCTTGATGGCTGGGATAAATGCTGTCCATTTTGGATATATACCATCTGTAAGGTAGTATCCCATATTGTATCTATTTCCATTCACATTAAAACTCACCTCTGGGGCTCGACCTTCACAAATATCATCGAACATTGGCGAATGTTGGAGGACATTTATATCATTTAGTGAACCTGGTGTGCCAAATATCCACAAGTCCTTGGAAGCAACAACTTCTAAAATTATGGTCGCAGTTTTTGAGGTATTCATCAACTGCATCGGCTGCTGTACCATAAGCCAACATCCTCATTGCCGTAGTGAATTTTTGAAAAGCCAAAGCACCAAGTCTTCCTGTGACATCAGGCCTTTGTCGAAAGTATTCGTTACTTTTTCTTAGCTCCTTAACAATGCGCGTGAAAACGTGTTTACGCATGAAAAATCTTTGACAAAACATATCATCATTATAAAGTGGTTTGGGACTAAAGTAGTCTTTATATAACCGTGTATCAACATCTTCACGATCTCTTGGTACGCACCACCTTTGCTTCTCAGGACCGGGAGTGAATGGGACCTGAAGAGTAGAGGTGACAAGGGGGACAACAGCTGAATTGATCGCTTCCTCAATTAATTCCTCTTCCTTACGCCTTTGAGTAATTGATTCGTGCCATTCAACATAGTCGTTCACCACATAATCGAAAATACCAGAACTTCATGAACTAAATGAATTTGAACCACAATTCATTTTTGGGTGTATATGGTAAGAGTAGTGTTTAGTGTGAGACTGTTTTTGTGAGGAAGGATATTTTTGTTTGTGTGTTGAACTACAAAGTGAATAGGCCTTATATAGAAACTTGTAAATGATTTAAAAACAATTACAAATGATATAATGTATGGGCACAAAACTGTAGAAGATGAGATTTCTGATAAGGTTTGCAGATTTCCATCCAATTACAAAACAAAGCATGTATTGGCACACACTCTAGATAATGATATTGTCTGATGATATATCCTAATTTCTATCCAATTACAAATTATTATATAGGCACTCAACTCTAGAAGATGAGATTACTAATAAGGTTTGCAGATTTTCATCCAACTGCAAACAATGTTTGTGCACACATCTCTAGAATATGAGATTAAAGAGTTTCTTCATTGACAAGTCAATGAATTCAATTATATTTAAATAGCATTAATTAAATCAAGTTTTATATTGCTCAGAAAACAATTGTAAAATCATACCAAATGAACAACAACATAAATTAAGGCAAACGCCGAAGAAGCTTAAACTAACTTAAAATAATATTAAACTAACAACATAAATAACTAGCCTAAAAGGTGGCTGAACTCCTCTTTCAATCTCCGAAATAGTTGTTGGTCGTCTTTAGAGAGGTTTGGTTTTGCAAGTAGAACACTAAATAACTTGAACCTCTTTTCCTCCTTTTTCCTCTTTCTCTTGATGACATCTCGCTCCTTTTGATAATCCAACATTTGTTGCGCTACATCAGCTTGCTTCTCATCAACACTTTTGTATTTCTCCTTCATCATCTCTGATAGGGCTTGAGTAAATGAATCTAAATTATTAATTCCAGAACTAGCTACAGATTTCCCTTTTCTTTTTGCCTTTTTCACCCCATCTGGACGTCCATGCCGACCTACTTTTGTTGCAGTATCTGGTTTTGATCTTTTGGAGCAATCACTTTCACTGGTATTCGACACTTGCTTGTTTGTTGGCCTTCATTTATCAGATTTTCTCAACACATCCCATATACTCATTAAAGTGAACCGGGATCCGTTACATGATGCACTATACATTTCTTGAGTTTCAGTCATGACATTGTAAGTGTTGGTACCACTTGCATTTCTACATTGTGCCGCAGCATAGCACCCAACCCATAGGTTCACATCTTTGTTTATTCTACCCCAACGACCTTTCATAGCTCTCAAGGTTTTGGGGCGGATAGTGGAAGAATTTTCTTTCCTGGATTGCTCATACAACTCGTATACGGATTTCCACATCATAGCCAAACTCTGATCAGTTGCTGTCTCCGGATCTTCAATTGCACATTCTATCCAAGCTGAGACAAGTACGTTGTATTCTTGTGCACACCACTTTGCATTTGACGAGGTGATGCTGCTATCTTGCGGATCTTCACCATCAACGTCATCATCGTCATTTTCATCATCATTGACATTTCTTTCAGGAGGAGTTTTGTTACTACTTCCAACTCCCCCGGGAGTTGTTGGACTATTCTCCACTTGGTTTCCAACATGTTGAGACATTGAGAACATTAAACTAGAAGAAAAATTATGGGGAATTTGATTCATGAATTGTTGTTGGAATTGGTTAGGAAACTATTTTTAAAACTGGTTAGGAAACTGCTGATTAAGATTTATTATTGGCCAGTTAGGAATGTTATAATATAACACTGTTTGAACATTTGGATTAGCAAGACCATTTGGATCAAAGTGGAGATTAGGTTGAAAATTTGGAGAATTGGAATTAATTTAGTAATTTGGATTATGTGGGGAGTAGATTTTATTTCCTTGATTATTAGGAATATTAGGATCCATAATTAGGACTAATATTATTTTTTTGGGTTTAGATAATATATAACTTAGCTTTTGTGGGTTAGTAGAGGGATGGTAAAGAATTTAAGTGTGAATAACATTGGCAATATTGGTCTCTTTTTATAGGCAAAAATATAAAAAAGCCGTTGGTAATTTTTTTTTAAAAAATTCATAGTAGATTTTTTTTTTATTACTGTTGAAAGTTTTTTAAGAGTTAAAAATCATTTGAAAATATAACCTCCAATAGCTATAAAATCAATGGCTTCAATTGAATCAACATAACTCTTAGTGGAAACATGGCGAAAATCCAGCGGACCGCGTCCTCCCTAAAGCGCGTCAGAACTTTATGATTTTTTAAAAATCAAAACGGCAACGTTAAAACAACAATATGCAAAAAAAGATATGAAACACATCGTTAAAGTTCACGTGGGCCGAGGCAATAGGTGACTTGCCAACGAGGGCATCCCCATCAAATTGGTTACCCATGAGTCACCTCCTACAATGGTGAGGCACGTAGCTCAAATGGAGGAGAGAGAGAGTTGTGGGGAGGGTGCTCCCACCGTTGTGGCTGCTCTTAGCAATTATGTCCTGCTGTTGGAATTGCTCCACTCCCTGCAAAATGCAATACCTGCAGACTTTAGAGACCAACCCCATCTCCTCTTCGCTTTCATGTAAGGAACCTGAGAGATTTCCAAGGCTGCAGTGCTGCAAGTACCAGTTCCTGTAATTAGAGGATACTACTCGACGTGCTGCTCATCCTGCTATTGGCCTGCATTGCTGTCAAAAATAACGTAAGTGTCTCGTTTTGTGTAGCAAAAATGTATCGACTTGTGGGCAACTATTTTTTGCTGTAAAAAAAACACTTATGTTTTATTTTTTGCTAATTCTGAGCTCAGTTTAGACTCCTAAGGTCTAAATGGTCCCTAAAACCATAACCAAAGATTTTTCAACATGTAAACCAATGAAAAAGTTAAACCGGACTACAATTTACAATTTATACAAACTTTTGGGCTGCAATTTGCAATTTTTTTTAAATGGTTGCAATTTGCAAAATACTAACATTAAAAGGTTGCAATTTGCAAATTTTTCTTTTTTTTACAACTGATATTTTTTTCATATGTTAGTTATAAAATTTGTTACTTTTTTTTTTTTTTTAAGAAATGTTACTTTTTTGTTAATAACTTTAGAAATGTTACTTTATTTATTCGTTGTACGTAGTATATTGTATTATCATTTAATATTTTTATTTTATTTATTTTATAATAAATTGTGAATTTTCTCTCATTCGTCATATATTAATAATAACAAATCATGAGAGGAAATCAATTAAATATTTTATTATAATCACTTGTCATATTTTCATTATTTTTTTATCTAATCCTTTTTTTTTTAAAATATCAATTGAACGTGATTTTTTTTTTTTGAGTTTAACAATTTTTTTTTTAAAAAAATATAAACGAAATAAAATAAATTAGATAAAATTTCCAATTTAAAAAGTTAGTATTTTATTTTTATAACAAATTTAAAATTTAATCTTATGTGGTGTTTTAAAATAGCAATCATACGTATGTAAGTCCCTCGCTTAGGGTTCTACAGTAGCCCCTTCTAGGGTTCATAGTATAGTAAGTTTTCCTATGTGGTGATTAGTGAATTTTCTTATGTGGTTATTAGTGAATTTTCCTTGAATTTTTTTAGTAATTTTGATTTCTTAAAGTGCTTTAACAATCCTAATTCTATGGCAGACGATCTAGTTAAGGAATGGGAGAAACTTAAATTAACCGATGACGAAGTTGTGGTGATTGGAATCTACTGCTCAATTGAAATTGTCTCTGGTATGGAAACTTTGAACAATAAAACCCTACAACTCTGAAGCGATGAAACAAACCTTACAAACAGTCTGGAGATTTAAAGGAAGGTGTTGCAAGGTTATGGAAACTAACTTATTTGTGTTCCAATTCTTTTGTGAGGGGGACAAGGATCGGGTTATTAAAGGTAGCTCATGGTTTTTTGATGACAAAATTTTGCTAATGAAAGACCTCCAAGGAGATGAGCAGCCTACGGGAATTGAATTCACCCATACTCCTATGTGGGTGAGGTTTCTTGATGTGCCCTTTAATAAGCGCAATGTAGCTATTATGTATGTCATTGGTGAATTTCTTGGAGGTTTTGTTAAACTAGATGAGGAAGATCCTTTAGGTTGGAGCAAATTTGTTCGAATGAAAATTTTGATAGATATCAAAATATTGCTGCGAAGAGGATTAATGCTTGCCACAAGCTCGTCCACATCAAAGTGGATTGATATGAAATATGAAAGACTAGCTGACTGTTGCTTCTTTTGTGGGATGTTGGATCACACTAACTGTGATTGCCATAACAAAGAGATTATTGGGAATGAAGAGGAAGAACTAGTCCTCTAATACGGACCTTGGCTCAGGGCAACACCTAGAAAACATGCAAGGTTTAGCTTGAACGAAAGAGAAAGGGAGAGAAGATGGAAGGAAAACATGGTTGCCTGCTCTTCAGCTAAGCCAAAAAGCTTCAACGATCCTGAGTGATTAAGTTAGGGTCCCCGGGTGCAGCATACAAATTGTTTTTTAACTCACTAGAAGATAACAGGACTTAGCGCTTCAAGCTTTGAAAGAAAGGGCAAACTCGTGAAAAAAAGTGTGGGGGGAGGCCTAACAATGGTGCTGCGTGCAAAAAGTGTTGACAATAGAAGTGAGGAAAGCCAAAAACAGGATGAGATTATTACTCATGCCGTCCAGTCAGAGAGAGAACTTGCTCCTATTATACATGACTCTACTGCAACCCTCAATGCAAAAGTCCAGACCTCAAATGAAAGCTTCTAAAAAAGTCAACAAGTTGAGAAGATGGAGGGCATAGAAACAGACACGGGAAGTGGATCGAAAAAATGGTATTTAACTTCTCAAAAACAGCATTGCAACTACTCTATCTATTGCGAAAATGAGCTCCTCAAATAGAATTGCCGAAGAACCAAAGATCAACTTTGATGATGTGAAGAAGGCGAAGTTCAATTCTGTTTTTCCAGCTGGAGACGGGGTAAATCAAGTAGAGGGTGTTAGGATCGACCAACCCCTCGAAAAGCAATGAATAATTTATACTGGAACGTTAGAGGCCTTGGTAATCCTCGAGCGATTGGAGCACTCGAAATTGGTGTGTTTCTTTAGCCCCTAATCTTGTTTTTCTTTCTAAGACAAAAATAAATAAAGTAGCTTCGGAAAATGTTAAACATAGAATAGGTTTTATTGTGCTTTTGGTGTTAGTAGTGAGGGTCTCTCAGGTGGCTTATGCTTGTACTGGGATAGTAAAATAATTGATATTGTTCTTATTTCTTTTTTTGCTCACCACATTTGTGGAAAAGTTATGCAAGGTGATCTTGTTTGGTATTTTGTGGGAATTTATGGTTTGCTAGAAGTTACTGAAAAACATAAAACATGGTCTCTCATAAATTCTCTTTGTGATGGTATTAATGACCCGATTCTTATCGGAGGTGATTTCAACGAAATTCTTAATATAGAGGAGAAAAAAGGGGGTGTTGATTCTGTGCATAAGGCGATCAGAGGATTTTGTAATGTTCTCGATTCTTGTAATTTGCGTGATTTGGGATATGAAAGGCAATGGTATACTTGGGAGAGAGGGCTTACCCCCTCTACTATGGTTCGTGAAAGACTCGACCGCTTTTGTTGCAACGAGGAGTGGTTTTCCTTATTCTTGAACATGCATTTATGTGGAGCATTAGTCAGGTTTAAATCAGATCATGCCTCGATTATGACTAGACAAGGACATCCCAAACGCAAATGCAAGCGAAAAAAGGGGAAGAAATCCTTCAAATTCGAGATCGCATGGCTTCTTGATTCTGATCGTGAATAGGTTGTAAAACGGGCGTAGAAGGATATGGAGGGGGCTTTTGAAGGAGTTGTGTCTTCGATAAGTGCAATTACTAGATATATCAAGGATCACTATTATGGAGATAATAAGTTCATTCTCTTGGGGTGTCATCATCTGTTGGATTTTGCTAGACTACGAGAGATGATCTTTGGGCTAGTAAAATAGTCCAAAGCCCGCTAGAAGGGATCCTATGAGGTCACACACAAAGGTATTGGGTTAAGCAAGTAAGAGGCCCATTAATGGGCCTTATGAGCATTTAACTAATCATGAATGGGATTGGGCTAGTGCAGTTTTATTGGGATTAGGAATTGGGCTTTGTCATGGACTATTATTTAGAGATGTGATCTATAAATAAGATCCATGCCTAGGGTTGATTAATTAAGTCATAATTAACTTACAGCGAATTGTGAATTAAAGCAACCAAATCCCAAAAACCCTAACCTCCCCCCTCTTTCTCACGGCATCCCTCTCCCCCCTTGGACTTGCGGCCGGCCACCCCTAGTGGCGTTCGTGGTGGTTCGTGACTAGTTCGTTCTTCATTCTTCTCCGTAGAAAGTCAATTGAAGAGTTCGATCGAGACTAACTAGCATTAGTAGAGGTCTTAATCCGTGCCTGTGGACCAAGTAGAGGAATCACGTTTGAGGTTCTTTGTCTCCCTTGTTCTTGCTCGATTACTAGTGGAATCACGCTTTAAAGGTATAATTCTTACTTTTTATGTGTTATGCATGAGATCCTTGATTAGGTGCTTTATGAATATGATTCATGTTTATTCCGCTGCGCAGTACCTATAATTCCTTACAGTG